TCTATAATGAGCAAATTTTTTAGTTCAAAGAACCTAGCTCTGATATCAGCGAATTTGATGAATTGTATTTTCCAATTCATTGATTTTATTTTGATAGTTATAGGCTTTATATAGTGGAGATACATGTTAAACAATCCAAAGAAATAAGAAAAAGAGAAGGCTAGGGTTTCATTGATACTGCACAATGCAATTGAATACAAAAAGAATGATTTAACCTAAATACAAAGAGACTATATATAGGCTAAATAAAGAAAATAATGAAAAGACAGATCTACCCTTAATAAACAATAAAATAGAATAACCCTATATTTCTTAACATCTCCTCTCAAACTCACGATGCGGCGGCTACAAGCATCAAGAGTTTGCCAACTAGAAAACGAAAACGGGAAATAGAATGCAACTTGGTAAAGAAATCTGCAATCTGCAAAGAAGAAGAAACAAAAGGCAAGGTAATGGTGCCATGCTTGAGATGATGACGAGTAAGGTGACAATCGATCTCAATGTGCTTAGTTCGTTCATGAAAAACTAAGTTGTGAGTAATCTGAATAGAACTCTGGTTGTCACAATACATAGGAGTGGGATGAGAAAGAGAAACTCCCATATCTGCAAGTAACCAACGTAACCAAACAATCTCTTTAGTAGTAATGCCATAGCACGATATTCTGTTTCGGTTGAAGATTGAGAAACAATGGATTGTTTCTTACTCTTCCAAGAAATAAGAGAATCACCCAGAAAGATACAGAAACCAGTAACAGACTTGCGATCTGTGGGATCACTGCCATGATCAGCATTAGAGTATGCACGCAGCTCCAAGGAAGAGGTGGATGGAAGTAAAAGACTTTGAAAAACTATACCCCGAAGATACCGCAAAATACAAAGAACAGCTGCCCAATGAGCTGTAGTAGGAGAAGCAACAAACTGACTAATAACATGAAGAACATATGCAATATCTGGACGAGTAATAGTAAGATATACCAAGCTCCCAAGAATAGTACGGTATAACGTAGGATCTGACAAAGGTAAACCATCAGAAGAAAAATACTTTGCGTTAACCTCAATTGGAGTATCTACAGTCTTATTATCAGTAAGTCTAGCCCGCTTAAGAATATCTGCAACATATTTCGACTGAGAAAGAAGATAACCGCTAGGTGAGTAAGCTATCTCAATACCCAAGAAATATCGTAGAGAACCCAAATCCTTCATTTCAAACTGTCTAGCTAACTCTGTCTTCAAAACTGAAATACCATCAATATCATCACCAGTAATAATCATGTCATCAACATATAAAGATAGAATGATACGACCTGCATCAGTGCACTTAACAAAAAGAGTAGAATCATGACTACTAGAAGCAAATCCAAGGGAAGAGATCACAACAGAAAATTTCTCAAACCAAGCACGAGGTGCTTGTTTAAGACCATATAACGTTTTCTTAAGCTTGCAAACATACCTAGAATCATGTGAAACACCAAGAGGGGGCGCCATATAAACTTCTTCTTGAAGATCTCCATTCAAGAAGGCATTTTTAACATCAAGTTGAGAGATATGCCACTGACGAATCGAAGCTACTACAATAAGAGTACGAATAGTAGTCATTTTTGTAACAGGAGCAAATGTCTCCTCATAATCCATATCATACTGTTGAGAGTACCCTTTTGTAACCAACCTAGCTTTGTATCGCTCAATAGATCCATCAGAATTAGTCTTGATCTTATACACCCAACGACAACCAACAACAGTCTTACCAAGAGGTAGAGGAACCAAATCCCAAGTACATGTCTTATGCAAAGCAGAAAGTTCCTCATCCATAGCTTGCTGCCAAAGAGGATCAAGAATTACCTCTTTATAGGAAGAGAGCTCAAAGAGACAATGAATAGAAGTTAAAAAGGAGGCAAAAGATGAAGAATAACAAGAATAAGCAAAATCAAGTAACTTTGTGGACTTACGAATGCGTATGGATTGATGTAGAGGTGGATCCACAATCTCAGACGGAGCTTGATGGACCATAGGAGAAGAGGGAGCTTCAGGTGTGCCGGAGAGTAAAGTGTTAGTACCTGCAGAATGATCAGCATGAGAAGGGGCATTTGAAGTACTAGGAACCTAAGATGACAAACTATCAGAATCCTCAGAAAAGAGATCTATATGAATAAGATCAGATCTAGTCAAGTTATGAGTAGTGGATGAAATAGAAAAGAAAGGTATATGCTCAAGAAAAACAACATGACGAGACAAATAAAGTTTCTGAGTTATTGGATCAAAACAACGATACCCCTTTTTACCTTCACCATAACCAAGAAAGACACAAATAGCAGATCGAGAGGACAACTTGCTGTGTTCTACATGAGGACGAAGAACAAAACAAGTACAACCAAAAACTCTAAAGAAAGAATAATCATGGGCATACACATACAACTTTTCTAAACGAGAAAAACCTGAAATATGAGAAGATGGAATTGTATTAATCAAACCTACAACAGTAAGAACAGCTTCCCCCCAAAACACACTAGGAACAGAAGTAGACAATAAGAGAGAACAAGCAGTTTCAACAATGTGCCTATGTTTTCTTTCAGCAACACCATTTTGCTCAAGAGTATCTGTACACGAGGTTTGGTGAATAGTTCCATCTCATGCAAGCAACTCACAAAATTTATTAGATGTGTATTCCCCACCCAAATCACACCTAAAACATTTGATAACAGCAAAATGTTGGGTTTTGTCAAGAGCTCGAAAGGTTGTACATATCTTAAAGAATTCAGAACGATGTTTCATTAAATAAACCCAACAATAACGAGTATGATCATCAATAAAAGAAACATAATATCGAGACCCTCCTTTTGTGGCAATAGGAGAAGGTCCCCATACATCAGAATGAATCAAATCAAATGGAGAAGAAGAAAAAACAGTAATACTTCGATTAAAAGTTAAAGCTGAAAATTTTGCCAGTTTACATCCACTACAATCATAAATATCACAAGTTTGCAAATTTCCTAAACCCTTTATGGACGCTAAAAATCTCAAACAAGAAGACGAAACATGACCTAAACGAGAATGCCATAAATAAAAACTAGAAGAAGAAGAAGAAGGACTCAAATGAAAAGAAGACAAATCAACACTAGTAGCAGCAGCAACTGGCACTTTTAACTCATCCAAAATATATAGTCCCCCATTCTTACGACTTGTCCCCATCAACTTTTGAGACTGCAAATCCTGCACATAACAAGAAGAAGAGGAAAAGGTGACTAAATTACCAAAATCACATAATTGACCAACAAAAGCAAGATTTAATGTAAGTTTCGGAATATGATAAACATTAGAGAGAGACAAGTGAGGTGTGAGAACAGAACCAATGTCTGCTAAAGGCATAGGAGTGTCATCAGTAGTCATGACAGGAATAGAAGACGAAGGAGACACAAAAGCAAAAGATGAAGAATCTGGAGACATATGATGTGAAGCACCAGAATCCAAGACCCATACAGAATGTGACATACCTGAAGAACTCTGAGGGAACTGACCTATGGAAGAAAAATCAGACATAGCTTATGGCTATAAGGAGAGAAACTTCTGAAATTGCGCAGCCAGAGTACTAGGATCGGTGAAAGGACTTGATGAAACTACTGCTGCAGTATTAGACTATGGTGGTTTGTAACCTTGAGGTGGTCTATAAGTATTAGATTATGACTGGTTGCCAAGCTTCCAAGCTTGAGATTGATGCTGCGATTGATTTTGCTGTCTCAACTTAGGACACGGAGCCTTCCAATGACCCTTTTGCTTACAAAAACTACACTTGTCGAAGGCAACCCTTGTGTAAGGCTTACTCTGATTATTAAAGAGTGGCTTAGAAGGTACTGCTAACACAGATGGATTAGAAGTAGACATAATTCCCTTTTCAGAATAAGACTTAAGACGTATTTCTTTAGCCAATAACTCACTGACAACTGAGTCAATAGAAGGAAGTGGAGAACGATGCAAAATTGAACCTCTAAGTCCTTCAAAATCACTGCGAAGTGGCGTTAAAAACTGTACCAACCGTTGCTGCTCTCTACGAGCAATATAGGCACCACATGCCCTTAATTCTACAGATTCTGTAAGAGCCAATTGATCCCAAAGATCTGTCATAGCAGAATAAAATTCATCAACACTCATTTCTTCTACTGAAGAGCTCGTATGTCATTCTCCAATTGATACTACTTTGCAAAATTTGTAACCTTTGCAGATGATCCCAAACCTCCTTTGCTATCTCATACTTTGCCAATCTGTGTACCTATGGAATGCTCAACACAATTGTTGATCCAAGTAATAATTTTTGCATTGTTTGCTTCCCAGTCATCTATCAAAGCAGCATAACCCTCATCAGTATTCTTAGGTTTCACAGAAGTTCCACTAACATATCCCCACATCTTTTTACCCGTAAGAAAATTTCTCATCACATAACTCCAATACGAATAATTCTTGTCATCTAACCTCACACTCACAGACTGAAGCGAATCGTCTCTTTCAGTAGCCATAGTAAAAAAACAAAGAAAACCAGAATGCAAAGGAAAGGAAAACGAAATACCAGATCACAGAAATCAAACGAATACCAACGAAATACCAGTTGGATCCGCGTAAGCTGTGTTTAAGATTAAGCCTCGTCCCATGAAACCTTGCTCTAATACCATGTTAAATAATCCAAAGAAATAAGAAACAGAGGAGGCTAGGGTTTCATTGATACTACACAATGCAATTGAATACAAAAAGAATGATTTAACCTAAATACAAAGAGACTATATATAGGCTAAATAAATGAAATAATGAAAAGACAAATCTACCCTTAATAAACAATAAAACAGAATAACTATATATTTCTTAACAGGATAATCTACATATTCTCCTAATTATGTCAATCACACTATATTTACATAATTAGAAGATCACAGAATATAAAAAATATTATAAATATCCTAAAACTAACAAAATTAAGAGGTTATATAATATTTTGGAAATATTCAAGGAATCTCAACAAATGTAAGCTTAACAATGGTGCCAACACCGCCATCGCCTTCAATAACCTCGACCTTTCCAAGAACATCTGGTAGTAATCTATCCACAAGTCTTCCCAGCTCCAGCCCCTTGTAGACTTCCCACACCGAACTCGCCGTCGCACCTACCACCGTTTCCGCTGAGAGTTGACCCTTCATTTTGATATCTTGTTGCTTTTGTTTAGTGGGTTCTTCAAGTGTTTATATTAGTGGAGTGGAGCAATTATAATGGAATTAGATAAAACAGATATGATAGGCAGGGCCGGCTCAATTATTAACTAATTGAGCCAGTTGCTTGCTTAGGACATGTTAGGAAAGGCCCCACAAAAAATAAATATATTTATAATAGATTTTACGTAATCATTCTCAGTATCATTGTTGGCTTGTTGCAATCAAGTCCTAGAATCTAATATTATTTGTATGATTATTGTAGGGTTTTCTAAAGTATACATGTGTGTTTGGCCGATTCATGTGACTTAGCACTCCTTAGTTTTGAAAATGCGACCCTAATTCTCGTGTGTTTGACTTTTTTTATAGTGAGTACTTGTTGGTTTCAGAAATATCATCAATTCAATCTTCAAATTTATCAACAATTTCGTTAATTTAACTTTTAAAAAATATATCAACCTTTCAACATTGTTGACAAATTTGAGTAAAAATGTCATTTTCTTCAAATTTAAACAAAATGACCTAATAGTCCGTTGAAAATATGATTTAGAACTGCACTTCTGAAACTAGCGGATGCTTACAATTAAAAAGGTCAAGCACATAGGGTTTACTTAAATTACCCATTATTGTATTGTTTATTTTAATTTAGTATTATTATTATCCTTTTTTTTTTTTTTTTTGTATGTTTATTTTATTATATTTTTTTCTTAACAATTGATTATGAATCCTAGCTGAGTTATTCAAATTGATTCTCAAAACCAGCAAAACATTATGCAATTAATCCAACTATATATGTTAACTAAAAGAGTTCTAAATGTAACCATCAGAATACAAAATGAATATGTTATGCATAGCTTAATTGTTGCAATTTATTATATTATAGAATTGATGTCAAAACACTCTAGGCAGAGGCTTTCTGGTCGCTGAGGTATTTTCCAATGACTTTGCCATAAGTTATCATCAACTTCATACTCAATCGAAGATCTAATAATACTTTGATTCACCATCTTTCTCAATAATTTCCACTCGAATTGTATGGGATTCGAACCCAAGTTCTATAGACCCTTCTTTAAACATTTCTGTTTCCTTCACTCGATTCTCTTCATCAATCTTTCTGAATATTTGCTTCATATAACCAAATCCAAGCGCTTCTTTATAAGCCACTTGAAAAAAGAAATTATCATTATTTTCACATTGACAAACTTTGATATGATTATATGATTATAGTTTCAAATAAATAGTTATAGTTTAAACTTTGATAAAAAGACTTCATCCGCCTTAAGGTTTTGATCAACCATGGTCTAGGTCCTTTGTTTTAAAATACTACATTCACCCCCTTTTAATTTAACAAACACTTACATAATCGGTTAATTGAGAGGATTTTTCTATTTAAAAACCACAATACCCCTTAGGGGTCGTTTGGATTGGGGGTATATAAGATAACGGGGATAATCTTCGTTTATTTTGCAAGATGTCTGTGTTTGGTTTGCAAGTAATAAAATATTACGGTAATCTTTTATTGCAATAGTGTTTACTCTTGGTAATGTGGGAAGTAATCTGATTTTCTACCCATTTTGCCCTTAATTAAAAACCATTTCAAATACAATTGCCCTTAAATGTCTACCAAATAACAATTCTCAGCCCCCCAACATTTGAGAAATTAGCTAAAACACCCCAACCACAAAAAAGTTTAAAAGTTAGCAAAATACCCTCAGCCACCCAAGACTACTGCTAGTTGTGACTCACCACTGTTGGCCACCGGCGTCAGTCGTCATAATGGTGCACAACTGATGGGATCTGGCCGGTCATGCGTCGATAAGGTTTTTTCCAGATCTGACTGTGAATTGGCCATAGATCTGACCGTTTTCCAGCCATGGATTTGTGATCCATGACCATTTTCGGCTTTGCCAGCGCACGGTCAGCCATATATGGCCAATCGTGTGCCATTCCATTGACTGCAGGTGGCGATCGATGGTGGTGGCTAGCTGCCGGCAGTGGCTTGGGGTGGGTGGGGGTGATTTTACTATAAATTAAAGTTTTATATAGCTGGGGTGTTTTAGCTAAATTTCAAATGTAGAGGGTTAAAAGAATAGTTCAAAAAATAATAATAAAAAATACTATTAAATTAATATTTAAAAAGGAGGGTAATTTAGTAATTTATATAACATACCCACCTATTTATCCTTCCAACCAAATATATTATTCACCGACTTATTCGAACCAACCAAACACATTTTTAAAATATTCACAGTAATCTTCAAGGTGATCTTTCTTTCGGTTAATATAATATATCCATACAATAAAACATTATATGATCCAAACACCCCCCATCTGTATATTATTTCAATTTTGAAAGCCCAAATTTTCTCTCTTAACTGTCTATTTCTCCTTAAAATATGTTATAATCAGAACTGTATACCCTAGTACTCAATGACGGACCTACGTTCATGGCCACAGGCCCACAAAATCTTTTGAATTCTATATAGAAGATTATCAATTTTGTTCTCTAACTTAAGATTTTTCACTTTGAGAAACCCTGTTTTTGAACATCACTTTCGCCCCCAATATATGTAACCATCTCATCCCTAACCCCTTTATTCATTGAACATTACTTTGGCCCCTCTGTAACATTTTTCTGGCTCCACCCCTTAAGGCCCTCACAGACTTACAGTGGTTTAATCTGGAATACATGGACTCGTAGACCTCAACCTCGGGGTAAATGCAATTTACTCTTTAAACCTTGGTAATAATACGTCAGAATTATTGTACAATATATTACCCAAACTTTTAATTATCCTAATATATAAAATTATTTTCAGATCACAATCAAACTTCATGTAAATATTACTTATAACTGGAAATTAATCAAATTATAGAATTTTGAGCTGAGAACTTAGAATAACAAGTATCTAGAAAGAAAAATTTAATACCTGGAGGCAGTGACGGACCCAGGATTTTTGTAGAGGAGGGGCCTCCATGGCTACGTCATTGTTTGTCAAATAACTAGTGAAAAATTAAAAAATTCAACAAACCTTAAGCAAAAGAAATAATACAATATCAATAATCTAAAAGAAAATAATGCAATAATACAATACTTTACCACTTGAATAAATCTATAAGAAGCAAAACCTTGAGTAAATTATGTTGAAAATAACATTTAATTCACGAGGAAATATAAAAAAAAATTTACGTAGAAAAACCTCTTCAATCAAAGAGAGTAAAAGACCATGGAAATCTAACGATCCACTTAAATCCAATACAATTAAAAGAGTTTACAACAATCACAATCCACCAAAAATGTTCTACACAAATTTCTTATTTCTCCTCTTTTTTTTTTAAAAAAAATTTTTTTTTCTTTCAAAGATTATAATATAAATTTTCTTGATTTTGATCAGGCATAGCCTAAGCTAAAGTCAACCAAAACTTAAATTAAATCAACGTTGCTTTGACTTTTAATATAAATTAATAAAAAAGGGAAAATTTTCTTAGTATAAACATAAATAATAACTCAAACTTCTTTAATAATTTTGAGCAGCTAAACGGTAACGTTTGAAATATAGGAAAGTGGTGGGTGAAGGGTGAAGAATAACGTTCAGTAAAATATAGTTAAGGTTTAATTTGAGAAAGTAAGAACATTCTTAAACACGAAACATAAAACAAACTCACAAGATCTATGTCTTTTTCCATCAAATTAGAATAAAAAACCTCCAAAAAATAAGCATGATTCAACCCTAAAATAAAATAAAATGAAATGAGCAATACACATACCTAAAATTGAGAAAACGGAAAACGAAATTAATTGTGACACCTTAATAGTGAAAGTTTCAACAATTTCAACCTTCAAAAGTTTTAAGAACGAATAACATAAAGAAAGTAAAATAGAGAACGAGAGAATAAAGAATTTTAGAGATAAAATCACAAAAAACAGATGAACGTAGAAAAGAGTGGAGAGAGTTTTAAAACTTTTAATATGATATAGGTGTGGAATATATATATTAATAACAAGTTTTTTATGAGTTTGGATATATGTATAATATTTCTCATTTTTTTTAAATTTAAAGATAAGTCTAGATATATATTTATTAATATAATTTTTTTGATAGGACTATATAAATAATATTTTTTTTAAATGTGAGGGTGGCCTACCCTCCAAGGGGCTGGGTCCGCCCTTGCCTGGAGGAAATGTAAGCTTAACAATTGTGCCAACACCGCCATCGCCTTCAATAACTTCTACCTTTCCGAGAACATCTGGTAGTAATTTATCCACAAGTCTTCCCAGCTCTAGCCCCTTGTAGACGTCCCACACCGCACTCACCGCCATGCCTACCACCGTTTCCGCCGAGACTTGACCCTTCATTTTGATAACTTGTTGCTTTGTTTAGTGGGTACTTCGTAACTATTTACATTAGTGGAGCACTTGTAATGGAATGAGATAAAAGAACAATGATAAGCACACACATCCAAATCAGGGGCGTCTCAAGAACATTTGTGACCCTAGGCAAGAATTACTTTGGGGGCCTTCTAATAATATAAACGTATATTAAAAAAAATATTTCAAATTTATTTTTCTTACCTTTTGAGATGCAAAATCAGTAGGAGAGGTGGACGGCGATCGGCAGGCTAACTGGGTCAGGTTGGTGGGGGGTTTTTTAGAGCGAATGTTGGAGAAGTGATGGGTGGTGAAATAGGTAATTTCCAATGCCTGGATTGGCCAGAAAAGACTTGAGAAGTCGCAACCCAAAAGGTATCGGTGGCCTGCGATTTGACGGAGTAAACGAATAAGGTATGATAGGGATTTTGGTGAGAGGGTTAAGGGGAGGAAGATGGTGGTGTCAGGGAAGGCCAACAACGCCAGGTACATGCTAAAAAGGTCGAAAATAGTTGTTGTGCACAGTGGAGTTGGGTTATGAGATTCGTAAAAAATCGGTCAAATCGAGGGCTATCAAGACTAGAAAAATACTTGGAAAAATGATAAAGTGATGATTCCAATC